TTTTTATATGTTAAAACTGATTAAAACTGATTTTATAATTAGAGATATAAATTGGTTTAGGCAACTACTATGTTTAGTTGATTACTATGTTTTATCAATGAAACATAATAGTCAACTAAACATAGTAGTTGACTAAACCGATTCCAATCTCTAATTATAATATAAAAAATAAAACTGATTCAAACTTTAATATTATCTAAAGATAAAAATATGAGATGTCCGGAAGATTTTCCTATATGATTTAGAGTTGTTGTATCAGAATAAAGAATTATTGATAGTAATCATCATTGATCAAGAAGTAATAACGATTCTTCATATTCCTACCAGAGGTAATTATATTGCTATTCAAATATACAGCACTTCATATTATTTCTTATCTCCCTTTTATTTTCAAATTTAATTATTAATTTCTGATTTATACTATCAATTATTAATAAAGACTTTATTGTCTTTATTAATGATCAATAGTAAAACAATATATTCAATATCTTGAAATGTTATAATAGGAATTTCTTTGAACATCATATAAGGGATAGTCAAATTATCAAGAAATTCTTTTTCAAACTTTGTTGATAGAGGGAGTAGTAAAACTTCCAGGTTTGAATACTTGTTAAAAAATTTTATAAAAGCATCACCAACTGAATTAGATAGTTGATATTTACTGATAATTTCTATAAATTCCTGATATGCATTATTGGGCCAAACAACTTCATGTAGATATAGAAGATTATAAACTGCATCATCAGGTGAAGCACCTTCGTAGTCTTCTGGATCAATTTCAATAGGTATAAAAGAAGACTCGGAACCTGCTGAAAATTCTCTGTTTTCATATCAGAATTAGGTAATACTAATACGTCTTTGTTTTATTATTAATTATTATATAACATTTTATAACTTATAATAGTATTATAATGCAATATATGTTGGTATTTGAACTAATTAAAATTATATAGACAAAATACAGACATAGTCATTTTTCAATTGGACATATACATTTAAACTATATCTATAATTTTTCAAAAATATAGACATAGTCCAAATACCAATACTGAATACAACTAACCTCATAAGTTATAGAATTTTCATTATAGATATCTTCTGTTTGCATAGAAGAATCTAACACAGAATCTAACATAACTTCATCCTTATTTAAGTATAATAATTAATTATTATTTTATAACTTTATTAACAAATTAATACTAATTTACTCTATATATTATAGAAGATTCATCTGTATAAGAATCTTAACTAGAACTATAATCTGGTAGAGTCCAAATGCTAGTATCTACTTGCTCGGCAGGATCATTTTGACTTGTCATGTCATTAGGATAGATGACTTTGAGAAATGTGTTGAGTTAAGTCATTAGATTTTGTAAAATCACAAAAACAATAAGGACATTGTTAATACTTTTTAAAAAAAAATAGAGACAAAAAAAGAAATAAAGAAATAAAAAGATAGAAAAAAAGAAAGGAGAAATAAAATAAGAAAGCAAATGAGAAAGAATAAGAGAAAGAGAAGAAAAGTGAATAAGAATGGTTAAAGGTAAAAAAATAAAAAAGAACAAAAATATGAAAGCAAAAGAAAGTGAATTAAATGAAAGAAAAAAAAAAAAGCAAATGAGAGAATGAGAAAAGAAAATAAAAGCAAATTGAGTGAATAAAATAAATAAGAGGCAAAAGGAGAAATAAAGAGAGCAAAAAGATGAAAGAAAACAATTAAATCTGAAAATAAGCAACAATGAGCAAAATCAAGTGAAAGATAAAAAGATAAAATTAAAAAAATAAAAAGGTCTAGGACACCGGAACCTAGACTGGATTCTGTTTCTCAGAATTAAAAGAGAAGAGTGAAGACAAATAATAAAAAGAAAAATTAAAGCGATTATCGATTAAAGAAAGGAAAGCCATGCAAGAATGTCTAAGGGTAATGTTCAGAGAATTTGGGTTGTATCTGTTTGTATCTATTTATAACAATTAATATCGATTTAAATCAATTTAACTTTATTTTTCAAAACAATTTCATACATGAGAAAACATTGTAAACAACCAGTATCATATCTGTGACATAATAACATATGCAAATTATTATTAAATAAGAGCCACCAAAGAAAAACCTAAGTCATCAGGCATTCAATTATATTTTGTATCAAACATAATCGATTTAATTTATTAGGGATTAATCTAATAAATTAAATCGATTATGTCCAATACAAAATATAATTGAATGCCCAATGACTTAGATTTTTCTTTGGTGACTCTCATTTAATCATATTAAGTATAATATTATTTTTGATATGTGATGAAATTATGCAATATACAAAAACACAGCTATGCAATAAATCTCAGATATTGTCATTATAAGTATAATAATCAAAACAACAAATTAGATAAGTATCATTCAAATTTTTTTCTTTCATTATATTTTTCATCATTTGAATTTTTTTTCTTTCATTACATTTTTCATCATTTGATTTTTTTTTCTTTAATTATATTTCTGATCATTTAATTTTTTTTCTTTTGATACATTTTTTATCATTATAGTTTAATTTTTTTTTTTTCTGTTTACGAAAGCCTTTACAATTATATAAATACAAAGGATTTCTAGTATTTCAAGGTAAAGACATTTTTGAAATTTTTTTTTTTAATTTTGAAACAATGAATAACACCAACTCATCTTCTACTATCTCTAATACACCAAATAATAACGAACAACTTGAATTATTTGTTCCCAATTGTTTTCTAATATACTATATAATACTGCTAACCCTAAACAACTATCTCGCAATATTTGTTCTCAATCAGTTTCTTATGATATCTCTAATCTTCAACAAACACCTCATACTTTTTGTTTTTAACCATCTTCTAATTTTTGTCTTTAACTATCTTCTATTTTTTGTCTTCAACTATCTCATTGTTTTCAATCAGTTTCTAACACACCATATAATTCCACTTTTCCTCAACAAACATTTACTAATATTAACCCTCAAAAACAACCTTATTATTGTAACAATTATGATTCATCAGATTTAGCAGAAAGTATTTTAAGTGTACAAAGCATTTATTCTAAAATGAGTGGAAGAAGTTGACAACAAACATCTCAACAACAATCTCACCACCAATCTCACCAACCAACTCAACAACAATCTCAACAACTATCTCAACAACAATCTCATCAACAATCTCAACAGCAATCTTGTCAGCCTTCTTATCAACCTTCTCAAACATGTCCACCTTCTCGTTATGAATCCCAGTCTCATTGTTCATCACCGGATAACAATATAAATCTTTCACCATAGCATTTACCTGATCCAGAACTTAGAGAAAGATCACAAGAAAGATTAACCTATTAAGATGCATCACATAATCATGATAGTAATAATTTCATATATAAGGCTTTTTTTTTTTTTTTTTCTTCAAATAGATAGCTTTTTCTTTTTTTTTTTTAATGAGAACTCTTTTTTTTTCTTTTTTTATAAAACAAAAAAAAAACACAACTGTCACTTTTTTTTTTTTTTTTTTTTTATTAATGAGAATCTTTTTTTTTTTTATAAACCAAAAAAAAAAACAAGACCGCCAACACAATCGCTACTGCAAGGAATTTGAACAACTCTATGCACAGAACCAATAGCTGTACTTACTATTTAAACAGCTTAATGAAAATTATAAAAAAATAAAGAACGAATTAAAGAGAAGGCGAGATGAAGAAGAAAATGAACTCTCTCCTCAAGTAATGGATATAAGTGATTTTCTTTCTGAATATGTTTTTTTTTGAAATATTTCGAATAAATTTGAAATAATTCAAAACAGTCTGAAATAATTTAAGTTAAATTTTGAAATATATTTCGTAATATTTTAAAATTTATTTCATATTATTTTGATAAATTTTACATAAAATTATAAAAAACAAAGTGAAAAAATTTAAAATATTTTGAATCAATTCGAATCTATTCAAATTAAACTAAATATACTTAGTTTCAACAAATATTTATAAACTAAAAGTAATTTATTTAATTGTATAAATAAAAATTAATATAAAATAATCAAAATTATTGCAATATATTTAAAATATATAAAATTAAATTAGATTAGATAAATTCAAATTAATTCGAATTTATTTAAATTTATTCAGATTTGTTGATGATTTTATTATTTTATTTTATTTAAATTTTAAAAATTACATATAAAAAAGCTAAATTATAAATAATTCTATATAAAAAATAAAAAACAAAAAGCATAGTATTATTCAATTAAAAAAAAAAAACAAAATAAAAAAAAACTTTTACTTATCATTATCCTTATCTTTCTTATTATTATCTAAAATCTTCTTATCATCTTCGTCTTCTGAGGTTAAAGAATCATTATCATTAAAATCATTTTCACTTGCTTCTGGTTTTTTGTCTTGGTCTTCATTATTTTTATCTGGTTCGACTTGGATTAACAGTAATCATTTATAGTAAATCCGAACTAATTCGAATTAATTAAAATTTATTTACAATAATTTAAAATAGGCGGCGTACACAATTTATGTTAAACGATATTTGTAGTACCAAATACGCACATGCATATTACTATTCCTAATATGGTTGTTATAAAAAAATAATGCATATGCTCCCGGTGAAAGTTCTGTATCGCATATTACGTAGCACAATCTTTAGTATTAAAAAATAGGGACCCAGAAAAATTTTTTTATGTACTGCCACTTGGACCCCAAAAAATTTGAACATATTTTTAATTAAAGATGTAAATCTAGTAAATAATGATCCTATTTTACTTGCCTATAAAATCTTAAATTAAATTATTTTTCTTTTTCTTTAAAATAAACGTTATTAATACAAACATATTTATTTATTTAAATTTAGAAGCCTGGATCTTGCAAATTGGATACATAATTTACAATATACAAAAGCTTGGATTATGATTTTTCCGGGAACGAAGATTTGATTTATCATTATTACTGTATATTTTATCATATTATAAAGATACAATTCTGTTTTTAATACATAATGCACAGGATTTTGGGTCAGCGAAGTATAAAAGAAAGATCTGATTTAGTCGACATGAATCCCGTATCCTTATGCAAAACCTTTCTAAAGTTTTAATTAACACGATAGATGGCTTTTATTCTAAAAAATGTATTCAACTTGCAGCTTTGAATATTATTTCTCATATGTTTGGCTACCCAATCCAAACTGTGAGGAATAATATTTGTAACATTGGTGATTAACTGATCCATCATTTTGAAATGATTTTTTTATGTGCTGCACACCAGATGTGGGATTAAGTTTGGATTGGTCCTGTTTAATATTTGATATTGTTATCCTATTAAAATTAGAGTTGAAAAGACGAACTTTATATTTCTTGGAATCTTAATAAATATGGTTTTGAAGATTTGTATACATTATTATTATTATTTTTTTAAATTTTATGTTTTTAATTTATAATAAATTTTTTTATTTTTTTTTTTTATTACAAAGAAATTGAGATTAAAAAGGATATCGATTATCAAAAATCTGCTGATACGTTGCTGTGAGAATGTATAAGGTCAGATAATGTTATCTTATTGGAATTGAAACGTTTGGAAGATTTGTATACATGATTATTATTATTATTATTATTATTATTATTTTATGTTCTTAATTTATAGAATTATATATTTTTTTATTATTATAGGAAGTAGCTGAAATCAAGAATGAATATATGCATTCAAATATTATCAAAAAATTGCTAAAATGGGACATTTTAGTGGAAACTTCAGTTTTAGCCATTGCTATAAAAATGGAATTGGGATTGATGAGATTAAAGATGAGGCATATGGATAGGTAATGTTAACGAAATAAATTATTGTAAATTTCAACATCTAAGTTAAAAATTACAAATAACTTATCTGTCAATGCACATACAGAATTTTTCTTTACCCTCGGCCACACGAATTCTGTGCTTGTAACAAATAGCAGTATTAATCAATTCAAAAATATGGTTTTGAATAAAGCACCTAGATAATGTGAACCATAAGGTTGAGGTTCAAACCTTTTTTTGAATTATGACATTACTATATAGTTTGGGTTTGGGGTTTGGGATTTCTACTTAATTTGGGTTCATATCCAAAACCCAAACTTATGTCCCATTTCGATCAATATGTGTCAAACCCAAAACCAATAAAATTCATTAAATTGATAACAAATATATTATTCTTCTATCGAAGACATTACTATAACGATAAAGAAATATGTAGGAAATAGGGTTCACTAGCTCCCAGCAACTATAATCTCTAGATAATATGTATATTTCTAAAGGAATAAAGGTCTATCAAGAATTTATAGCATATAAAGAGAATTGGAAAAGTGACATAATGTTCTTTATATTCACATGCTGAATGAACGATTAATGTGGATAAAACAATTCGTATGTAATAGTAAATAAGTATTTATGTACTTTTTTTTGTAAACTTTTGCTATTTTTAATCCTATTTTTCAATGAGATTTAAGATTTTATAGTCCAAAACTACTTTCCATAAAATCAATATACGATTTCGTTTTATCTACACGTTTCTGGTATGAATCAAAAAAGCCTGGAATTTGACAACTTTTCTTTTTTCTTATAATTACTCTGATTGAAATTTAAAGTTCGTATTTGTAATAGTTATATCCTGGGCAGTTGGGTATAAGCGGAGCTGAAAGTCCCGCTTGTACACATAGTGCCCAGAGTATAACTGATTTATGCCCTGCGATCTTGATATAGTGACCAGGGTATAAAGCCTAATAATTCTTTGGCAAAATCATAGTTATTACTATGGTAATTCTGAATCCAAATTTCTTGTATGCATTTTGTCAAAATCTGTGCTAAGTTCCTGGTCACTATATCAAGATCGCAGAGCATGTATTAGTTATATCCTGGACACTATGTGTATAAACGGAAATTTCATTTCCGCTTATACCCAACTGCCCAGAATATAACTATTACTAATATTCAGGGCTGCAAGTTGAATACATTTTTTAGGATAAAAGCTATCTATCGTGTTAATTAAAACTTTATAAAGGTTTTGTATAAGGATACGGGATTCATGTCGACTAAATCAGATCTTTCTTTTATACTTTGCTGACCCAAAATCTTGTGCATTATGTATTAAAAACAGAATTGCATCTTTATAATATGATAAAATATACAGTAATAATGATAAATCAAACCTTCGTTCCCAGAAAAATCATAATCCAAGCTTTTGCATATTGTAAATTATGTATCCAATTTGCAAGATCCAGGCTTCTAAATTTAAATAAATAAATATGTTTGTATTAATAATGTTTATTTTAAAGAAAAAGAAAAATAATTTAATTTAAGATTTTATAGGCAAGTAAAGTAGGATCGTTATTTACTAGGTTTACGTCTTCAATTAAAAATATGTTCGAATTTTTTGGGGTCCAAGTAGCAGTACGTAAAAAAATTTTTCAGGGTCCCTATTTTTTAATACTAAAGATTGTGCTACGTAATATGTGATACAGAACTTTTACCGGGAGCATATGCATTATTTTTTTATAACAACCATATTAGGAAAAGTAATATGCATGTGTATATTTGGTACTACAAACATCGTTTAACGTAAATTGTGTATGCCGCCTTATTGAAGTTTTTTATAACAATAACTCAGTTCCTTTATTTAGGCTGATTCTAATTACCAAAAAAGAAGCAACTAAACAAAATGATAAATCAAAAATGACTAGAGAAGAAATTCTCAGTAAAATAGAAGCATATCTCGAACAGGCGAGTGAAGGCGTTCAAAAAAAGTATTGCAGAATAAAGACTAAGAAGCATGGCAAATTATTAGCTATATTAGAAGAGGTAAGATCTTTGTTTAGTGTTGAGAGCAAATCTGATAATTGCGATTATGCTGAAAGTTTGGAAAAGCAACAGCAAGACGAATTGGATACACCAATCTAGTCTAGGATAGGATTTTAAGTTTGTTCTTTTTTTTATTTTTTATTTTTGGGGGTTTTTTTTTATTTTTGTGTATCTTTTATTTATTTAAGTTTATGATTTGAGTCTTATACAGTTTCAGCAAATCAAGCAAGATGCTTTTAGAAATGACTTCAGGGCGATTCTTACTTTTTTACCATTTGGCTTAAGAATCGATTATAAATTCTCAATGAGATAAATGTAAATCAATGTATTTATTAATTATTTAAAATATATATTTAATTAAAAAAAAAAGAATTCGTTAAATAAGTTATAAATTAAAAACTCACAGTATTTAAGATTTATTTACTTATTACACAAATTTTTCTTAACTTGACACCCATTACATGTATTTATTAATTATTTAAAATACAAAAAATAACTTTTAGATTAAATAAAAAAAAAAAGAAAAAAGAAATTCATTAAATAAATGATTACAATTCACTCATCTTCATATATCTAGTTAAATTTAATAATTCTAATTCAAATTTCCTTACTATGTTGAGAGCTCACTATAACAAGAGCGAGCTGTATTTGGACAGATAAGTTCTTCCTGTTATTTAACTATAAATCTCTAAAAACTCAGTATTTAAATTTATTTATTACATAAAAAAATATTTTTCAACTTGACACCCATTACAAAATGTCATTTATAAGCTCTTGCTTACCAGTTAAGCTATACTTCACGAGCTACATATATCTTGGTGATTATGATTAAACCAGTTGGCATTCTCAAATTCACTTGCAAGTCCCAGGGGTGTTGTTCTTAAAATAAATTTGTCTAAAAATATCATATTCACTATATAATATAACGAATACCACACTACAGCATTAAAAAAACATGTTAGATCTATAGGCATTTCTAGAACCATCTAACCATCTGATCGACATCTTTGTTACCACAAAAGGTACGATCCAAATGTCCAAATTTGGTATATTCCTGAACTGTAATAATAATAATAATAAAAATAAATCATAAGCAAATTTATAGCAATTTTTTAAACAAATTTGTTTAGAATTTCTTATAGTTTAAGAGATAAAAGCTTTTTTTATAAATATATTTATATAATTACTAGCCAATTAAATTTATTATTTCTAGATTACTAAAGCTATATTTATTATAATAATATTTTTTAATAAATATACTTTAAAGCTAATTTCAACAATATGCATTTAAAAAAGTTTAACTATAATATTAGAAAAAATTTATTTGTAGCTATAATTACATGTAACTATATTTAATAATTTAAAATTTTACTAAAACAACCCTGTTATATAATTAAGTAAAAATATTTCTTTTACAATTTTACTCTAATCTAATTTTAAATCCTAACTCTAATCTAGCCCTAACTTTAATCTTAATTCTAACTCTGATATTAATATAGCTGCAAAATTTTTTTTTATAAAAAAACTATATTTAATAATATTGCTACATGTTACAAATATTGATTTATAATATTAATAAATAATAAATAAATAAAATTCAAATAATATATAGTATAAAGTAAAATATAAGCTACTATACAGTTTACTCTTTAGACAGTCATTTTCTATATAGTCACACCCTCTTTATAAGCACACTAATTTTTTAAAACAAATTTATATAAAGCATAAGAAATTTGACCTCTATACAGGCACAATTGCTTATAAGTACAGATCTTGAAACCGAGTGCGTGACTGTAAAGAGCTCGACTGTACTCCAATAGAAGATATGTAAATTAAAAATCCAAGTTTTTGATTAATAAAATAGTATACATGTATCACATAATATATATATACTGTAAACATATATTTTTACTTAAAAATATATAGCTAAAATTAATATTTTAATTTTGCCTGTATTACAATATAAGAAATAATCTACACCATCATTATCGTGAAAATTATGATATCACACCTTTCTGTAAAAACCGGCATAAAAAAAATATTATTAATTAGAGAATGTAATAATCAGTTTAGATACATATCTGCATATTATTGAATTGACCGGATAATTGATCGCTAAATTATTGATCTGCATCATAGTGGCAATCAAAAATAATGCAACATGTCTTAATTTTTGATTACGATATGATTCCCCGAAAGTTATTTCCCTGCTAACTCATTTCCCTACACCGAAATGCCAACATGTTATTTCATCTACAGCATATTTTTTTCGATAAGACATTTGTTCGATATTACATGTTTTTACAATCTTTTCTTAGACAAAAAAACATTTCCCCGACAAATATTTCCTCAACATATAATTCTAATCAACACTAACTCTAAATCAGGCTAAATCGGGCCAATTTTATGTCGAGGAAATAACTGTTGAAGAAATATCCTAAGGAAAGGATTGTTGAAAACATATAATGTCGAATATATATCCTATCGAAAAGATGTCGGCATTAAGGTGTCGAAATGAGTTTGCGGGTAAGTAACTTTCGAGGAATTGAGCGACAACCGGTATGAATTTGGGAAGGCGAATCAATGGAGAAGTTCAAACCTTTAGAAGTAATTGTTAGCTGTTGAATGAATTTTCACCAGGCATAGTTATTGACTATTGAGAATCCAAAGTAAATTAGAATACTTCTTGATCATCCCGACCCATGGTAGATTTTTTGATGGGCCAATAAAAATTGGACAAGTGAGTCAAGAACAATTTTTACGTTCCTGATGGCGTAAGCCAAAAAAAAAAAAAAGATTTACGTACGTACCTTTTCCAATAGGTTCTAAAAAACTATAGTAGAGCATATGGAAAAAAAATTGGCTTTTTTTAGATCCTCATCAGGAGTAAACTTTCCCCCCTATTCTGTCGATCCATCAAGAATAGTATTTTTTTTTTTTTTTTTACTATTACCTATTATAAAAATGGTTAGTAAATAAAGTTTCGATCT